TGGCCCCCGGGGCGGCGGCCCTGGTCCAGGCGGGCCTCTCTGGCCGAGCAGCAGTAGCGCAGGGTGCAGGTCCCACAGCAGAGGGTGGCCTGGGGGCCATCGTAGCGCTCGGGGCACTGGAAGCCGCGGTGCCAGCGCTGGGGGCTGCCCGCCCAGCCGTGGCAGAACTCCCCTGCCCACCCGCGGCCCCAGCGCAGGGCCAGCAGCAGCAGGAGGGCACAGAAAACCCGAGCCATGCTGGGTCAGGCAGGGTGGTTCACAGCTCGAGCCACTTGGCCACGCTAACCTCTTTTTTTTGTCGTGTTCCCCTTTTTGTTTAACGGGCAAGGCGCACCCCCGGGCAGCAGCAGAGCCAGTTGCTCCCAGCGCTGCCCACCGAGGCACCGGGGAGCTCCTGCTGCAGGAGGTTTTATCTCCTGCCCTGTGACCTGCCCCTAATCCCCTCTCTTTACAGCAACAAAGAAGCACCCACTAACACCCATTTGCTGCTACTCCAGCTCCACCTTCCTCATTTCTCTCCTCCATCCCTGCAGGGAGCAGCCGCTGGGTCGTGCTGGGGGTGACACATCTCAGCTCCTGCTTAGCCAGGCTAAGGAGATCGGGATGCAGAAAGCCCGGGGCTCTTCTGGTACCGAAGCTTCATCCCTTCAGGGGCTTGGCAGTACTTGGTCTAATTTCTGTCCTCGTGATTGAAAACCTGGAGGCTGAAAATTTTAAAGGGCCTTCTTTGCCTTCCCTCCGCACGCTGCAATCCGCAAATGAAAAAGCCTGTTTCAGGGGACAAAATGCCTATTTTAAGATCTGTAGAAGATTCATCTACACAAGAAAATCCTACGGATTTACAGAGACCCCGTGGCAGCACAGGAGTGGTGGTGACCTCTTCATCTTTGAACTAAAAATAAATCCAGACTGTTTGTGGTCTCTCCCAGTGCCCTCCCAAGCCTGACTACTTGCTCTGTTGACAGGATCTGTGTCTGAAGCACGGTCAGCCTGTGCTGAACTGCAGTGAGGAAGAAAACTGGTGCAAACTGGAGCACTTTGTCAAGCAGGGAGTTTGGGCAACATCTTTTAGCCAAAATCTGGTGATGTGGAGCATGAGTTGCAGCTTGCTTGTAAACCCCAAAATGTATTCCTGAATGTACTGGGACCCACACTATTTTGAGGAGTGTTGCCATTGATTGTGAAATAAGCTGTCCAATGAGCTGTCTTTTAGAAACATTTGCAGACCAATTTTAAGTTGATTATTAGAAATCACCTTGCACGTTTATGCTATATTAACTATTTCATAGGTTCAGTTGAGTTGTATTTCAGTCTGCCAAACACATCATCTCTCATCACCTTTGCCAGTCAGTCACCTCCCATGCATCATATTTTAACTGGCTTTTTGGCAAACAAGGTTACAGAGATCCTTGGATTGAGAAATGCCAAATAAAATCTCTGTTTAGAACTGGAGACCTTTCCAAATGCTGCTCAGGCATTTTGCCCTGCTGCATTTCAGCTCTGCAAGTGTGAGGTTGGCTGACCATGTAGGACATAATTCTATAAATCCATGGGCAGAGTCTAGAAATTCTGAGCAGCTCCAGCACCCTTAGAAAGACAGCCAGAGGTGATTGCTGTGCTATTTTGGACTCTGAAAGCACTGAAGAAAGACTTCTAAGCTCAAAGCTGTATTTGCCTTAGTTTATGCACACATTCAACCTCAGCACTATTAGGTCAGACCAAATACTTTTATTATTAGTTGTTATGGGAAGTAGCAGCCTGAGACAGGCTAGACTCAGAGTTCATCCTAATAAATCTGTACCTTAGTGAAGATGAGATGCAATTGTTTCCTCCCATCTTCCATGTCTAAAGAGTATAAAGATACCTGCTAAGTTAGGTATTCAAATGCTAAAGAATTCCTGAAGTTGTTCATTGCATTAACTCTTGGAGTGCTGGCTGTCCTGGCAGGGTTTCCTCTCTCTGCATATTCACTTCTCTTTAACAACATTTTGTTGTGATTATTATTTTTTCTATTATTTCTTCCTGCACAGGATGACACTACCTCACTGGGCAGGGATAAACTCCTGGAAGCTGAACACAGTGTTCCTGTTTTGGGTGTTGCTGTGTGTTCCAGGGAGCATTTGTTTCCTGATGCAAAATCTCTTGTCTTTATTAGATTAATGTGATTTGGTATAAAAATTGAAAATGCTTAGAAAACTTGTGACCCACTTGGAATTTTGACAAAATAGAAAGGGCTCCAAGACTATATTGGGATGCTGGTTGTGAACTACAGGAGTAAATAATTAATAAATTTCTATTCTATTTCCTTATGTTCAGCCACTTTCAGCTTTCTTAGACTTTCACCTGCCAGGGTGAGACTTATCATACCTTTTTAGCATGGAAGAATAGTGATGATGCTTTCTTATTATTACCAACAATCTTGTTACCTTTTCTGAGTATCCCTGCAGCCAAAACACCTTGAGCTTTGAATTTACAAGTTACCATGGAAACAGCCCTCTTTCCCCACCCCCCCATGTGAGGGTTGTTTCTCTTATTTAAGGAAATGTACATTCCCCCTCGTGAATTTTATGTAGACAGCAAGATGATTAAAAATTCCTGTCATACTAAGAAGAAGGCACAGACTGGAAACTTCCTGCTTTGCAGCTGCTTTGCCTTCCCTGCAGTACCAGTGTTCAGTGTCAGGGTTTTACAGTCTTCTATCATGTTAAAGGTTGAACTCTGCCACCAGATTTCAGGTAGATTCTTGCCATTTCTTAATGCCAGGTGAACGTTCAGTCCAGAACAAGCAACAACGGAAGAAGTAATCCCTCTGCTAGCAGGAGCCTGCAGTTCCCTGGTCAGATCCTGTGAGGAGCTAATCACTCCTCTCCTGGTTGTGTGTGTGCTGCTTCCCTCTGCTCTCGGGTCAGTCTGCACGGAGCTGGCAGGTTTGCTTTGTGATGTGGCACCCAGGGGTCCTGGTGGTTCTGAGAACACAGCTCTCTAAGCAGGCTGGCATGACTTCATCTGCTCTTTTCAGTGCTCTGGCCTGGGCAAGGGTGAGAACAGACTAGAGAGTCAACAGTGTTAGTGTCGGTGAAAATGCACCCTGCCTCTGCAGAAGAGAAGTAGCAGACCTGTCAGCTTGTTAGTTTAAAAATGGACACAGTCTCCACATGTTTTCTATAGAAATATATATATATATGTTCCTGCCTGTTGGTTGGCTTGAGTGCTGGGTGCTCGTGTGAGCAGTGTCCTGCTGGCTTGAGCAACATGACTGCAGGGAAGAGGGATGCCAGAGCAGGTCTGTGGAGGGGTTGGCTGGAGTCGGCAGCTCTTAAGGCTGGAGAGCTCTCCCATTCACTTCTTTTTGTCATTCTTCTCCTTGTTAGATATGTTAGCTCTTTCCTTTTTAAAGTGACTTGCAAATGTAACTGAGTTTCAATTTGAGAACTGTTCACAAAGCTTCCACAAGCTAAAAAAAGAAAGGAAAAAAAAAAGATAATAAACACATTAGCATTCTGCTTTCAGAAATGCATGCGAAGGAGAACACCTGTCTCTGATCCATGTGCAATGACTTGCCTAGTCACAAATATCTAAACAGAGGCTGTATTTCACATTCTCATTTTCTATGTTGCCACTTCTTGAAAAACACAACCAGGAGTTGTGTTGCCAGTTAATACTGTTCATCCTGCTGCAGAAGGAGAATAGAACAGAGTGGGCTCATGTCAGTGGATTTAACACCACTAGTCTTCGTTTGGGGCATTATTTTTTTTACTGAACGAGCACTTTCCAACAGACTTCAGTAAAAATCCAAGTGTTGAATTTTCTTTGAGTTAGACTTTGAGAGCCCCTTTACTCCTGGTGATTTTCCTCCTTCTTCCGTCTGTGTGTCTGTTTTCTCCTTCCTGAAGAGCCAGACTTATTTCTGCACTTTTCTACCACAATCCTTTAGAGGGGGGAAATCAGTTGTGCCTGTGTTCCCTGCTGGGCTCTTCCCTCTGGAATGACCCCCCTCTTGATGTCAGCAAAAGGCTGCAAGGTCCAATGGCTCTCCTCACCTAAAAAGACAACCAACCAATTACAGGTGGTTACTGGAAAAGAGAATGGCAGAACTTATTGAGATGGTGATTTACTGAGGTGTGCTTTTTGAACGGTTGTTCAGCCTGAATGCTCTTGATTGTTCATATACAATACTCCTGATTTTCAAGAGTCCTCACAGCTTCCCAGGAGCTGCTGGAGCCTGTGTAGAGATCAGGCCCAGGCTGAGTTGAACAATGCTGCCCTTGCCATGGAACCTAAGGATCAAAGACAGCAAGACTTGAACCAAACTTTCATTGCCAACTCAAATCACAATGTGTTCAGAGTTCAAACAAGTCTGGAATTAAAAAAAAAAAAAATTTAGTTAGTTAGTTGTAAGTTTTCCTTTCTTTTTTTTTGAGATGTAGCTGCTTCAGAGTTTAAAAGATTAAAAGCCTGAAATGCTGGAAATCTCACAGGATTTCCAGCTCTGAATCAGAGGAGTATCTGACCCCTGGGGCTCTTGTTATTTTCTGTTGAATTTTTCTGCAGTAGGCATTTTCTAGCTAAGCATAAAAGACTGCTATCAGAGGCTTGGCATTTAGAGCTGAGCTGAAGTCAAGTCACTGAGAAGTATCATGACAGCTTGAATCATGCTTCATAAGCTCAACTCAAGGTCTTTGCAGGCATTTGGGTTTGTCAGAGCATGGTCAGGAATAAGTCTTGACAGGGCGTCTGGGAGGCTGTGGAATAGCAATTTCCTTTGTGTTTCTGTGTGTGTGTATCACCTCACTGTCAGTCAAGGAAGGTGTGCAAGGTGTTGTATAAAATGACACAGAAAGAGTTTCTGCCCTAAGTTGCTAATAGTCTTCATGTCAGGCAGGGAATTGGAATGAAAGTTATCACAGTGGTTGAGAGATGTAGAAAACGTGAAGACTGGTCACGAACATTCTGGAAACTGGTTGAGGAAAAAGGCTGTTAACATGTTGAAAATAAAGAAACTTATACTAGATAGAAGAAGGAGTCAGCAGGGAAACCTCAAAGAGAGGGGTGAGCAGACAGAAAAGGCTTATATTTATCAAGGTGATAACCATAACAATATGTTGAAAGTCTAGCAGTGCTTCTCCTAAGAACACTTGAAACACTGGAAATAAAGACAAGAAAATTACTAGGTAATTTCATGCAGGAACATATCCTCCACAGTTATATTAAGAAAAGAAGATGGGATAAGGCAGACACCTTTCTAAATCACTTTCCTTTTTAAATTTCTATAGGAGCAAGGCAATTTAGCAAATGGAGGTTTGGGGTTCAATAGCTGTACGGTCCCAGAGAAAGGCAGACAGACACACAGAAACCAGCAAAGACAACCCTTTCAAAACCACTGTGTCACCTAAAGGTTCTCAGAAGATAGTTCAGATGTGTGACGACTGAACCAGGGCTGGTCAGTCCCAGTGCTGCACTCAGGCTGTTTGGGGATTAAGTTAAGCAGAGCTCCAGGAGGCCACTGCAAGACTCGTTCTGTTTCTTGGTACAAGTCTTCGTAGTGCTTTCTGGTTACTGCTTGCTTCTTTCTTGAAAATACTTTGATGTCTCTTGGGATTGTCTCTCTTGACACTTTCTTACATTCTGCAGACACAAGTTGTGATCTGCTTGGCAGTTCTGCAATTGCTCTGACACTTGAGAGAAACCTTATATGCCATCAGTCACTTATCGCTGCTTTGAGTTTGCTGGCAGACCATGTGCCACTCACACATTCACTGTGGAATCGGCTTTATCTTCACTGGCTGTGGTTTGGGGACCACCTGTCACAGTCCCTCATTTTAATCCTTTTTTTTTTTTTTTTTTCTGATTGCACTGACAAGACTCCTCATGCCACAGCACAGGGGCAGTCTGCAGTAACCGGTGGGGATGTCTCAAGTTGCAAGCCATGAAACTCTGCCTTGAGGAACAAGGGAAGACCCCAGAGATAAGGCCTGTGAGCACAGGCTGCAGACCCTGCTACCTCCAGGCTATTTGTCCAGATTTCTCCCAGAACAATCCGTGAGCAAGCCCTGTACAGCTGAGTATTGTTTGTTGCTTCAGTTTCGCATTACAGCTCTGCCACACTGGCTGTGATAGAAGCGGAACTCAGCAGGATGCAAAACTGTGTGATACAACAGGGCTCACATCTCTTTCTGATGCCATTCTCTCCATTTCCCTCCAAGTTACAAACAAAGGTCTAAAATGTCCTGCCACCACCCATGTGCACACAGACCCCTGAGTTCTGCACTGGGGGGAAGGCAGCGGGGAAGTGCCCTGACCCCCAGGCACTGGCAGGTACAGTAAAACTGATCACTCGGAATTCAGGCAAGGGGCAATATTTGAAGATAAGCAGCAAACCAAACTGTTGCCCTCACAGAACCCAAGTCTTTCTAGAAATCTGGAAAAGTTCCATTCACTGAGTATTTTTACTATTTTGAATTTCTGCTCTACAGCCATTAAAATGAGAGCCTCTCTGAATGATTTCTGAGTAGAAAAGGAAGTAAAGTGACCACATTTCACTATCCTTCTGTGCCCAGGGAACAAAATAAAATGCTGGAGAAACCAAGTGTCCTCCCTGCCCTCTTCATTACCAAGAGGTTCAGCCCATTTAAAAAGGCTACAGTATTTTTGGATACTTAAAGCCAAACCTGAAGTTGAACCTCTGAATCTCTTTCAGCTTGACCATTGCTTCTTATAAATGATGTTTTAATTTTCATCTAATGCCAAGGAAAGCCTTTCATTCTTTCCAGCTGGCATCAGAGATAAGGGACTAAATCCCCCAGACATTAAAATATCAAGCAGTTCTGTCATGTGTTACTTTAGTTTCCTCCTCAAAGTCTTTCTCTTCTTCCCCACTGATCTCAGATATAATGCAAAATAATCAGTGAGCAAAAAAGGGGTAGCAATTTAAAGTGTGGTCTTGTAGTTTAGCCCATATTCTGGGCTGTTGCCCTTCTTTTTTAGCCATCTGAGGTGTCTATCCTGAAGGGTTAACTCCGATCCACAATGGCTCATCTATTGAGGCAGGGATGCACTTAGGATGCACTAGGAATTGATTATATGTTACAAAACTGCACTGTCACTATGATCCCCATTGCTTAGCCTTTTGTCTCCCAAGACAGACCCCAGCACAACACCATGGAGACAGGAGAGGTGCAGGCAGGGGCTTGGCACATCTATGGACAGACCACCACCAACATGGCAGAAGCCTGAAAAGGTCCATCTCTTCTCTCGAAGGATACTACTCTGATCTTCTGTCTGAGCAGTACAATCCTCCCTGTGTTCTCTTCCAGCAGAGGGTGCCAGTGGCTGAGAAACCTCCAGCCTTGCAGCCCCTTGTAAGATCGGTAGAACCCCTCAGCTCGCAGGTATCCTGATGGAAGTGTGGGATACATGTAGCTGAGAAAATTTGCTTTTAATTTAGCTCCTTCCTTGGAAGAGAGATACAGTTTGTTGGCAGAGTTCAACAGAGCTGGCCACAAAGCTCCAGGGCAGGCACAGAGGAAATTGGAGAGAAACAGCCCCATTTTCTGTTGGAGCCATCAGCTGTAAGACATCATCTTGCTGTAAGACAGTGAGAAGGAAAGTGCCTGACTGAGGTATCTTCAGAATGCACGACCTGCTTGTAGCTCTTAGTCACACTAAAGCAGTATTCTTAACCAACCTTAATATTTAGAGTCTTCTAAAGCCTTTTTAAGATCTCCTGTTTGAACCAAGAGAAGACATAAAGAGCCAGTTCCTCACCGGGAATAAAACTTTTCAACTTGATTAATTATCAGCTGAAGGTTGGCCTATTCTACTATTTCTTTGACAGGGAAGATAAAAATAGCCTGGAGTGTTGTGGTTTTTGTTTGGTTTTGTTTGCTTGCTTGTTGTTTGGTTTTGTTTTGTTTTGTTTTTCCCACTTGCCATATGTATTCACCTGTCCCATTAGCAGCAGCAGCAGATTTTACTGCCTTTTTCTCCTGTTAGCCATCTAGAAAGAACAAAGCTGGGCAACACTGATCTGGAGCCTGGTCTGCCTTGCATGATATCAGCATATGGATTGCATGAGTTTCAGTTGCAGAACCAGCAGAGCAATTTCCTTCTTTTCAGGTCAAGCCATCGATCATTTCCTGCAGTCCCACTGAGCATAAAGAGGTTGCAGGTTTGAAACAAAGGGCCCTGTGAGGTCTGCAAGTCTTCATTAATTCTTGGTGTCTGGGCTGAGCGTGCAGAAATAGCCATGGGGTGAGTCCATCCCTGGAGCTGTTACCTGGGCAAGTGTCAAGTCAGATGGACTTACTGACCATAATGAAGATAGAACTCTAGGATGAGATTTTATTTGTCTGTTTATTTTACAGATTTGCCTTTCACAGTAGAGTTCTACTTTGGTATTGTGGCAAATTCATGAGACCTGCTGCAATGTTAGGCAGGAATACTCTGCTGCATACACAGTCTGGTGGGACAGCACGAGGAAGACAGAGCAGAGACAAGTGGAATTGTAAGACTAAAGAACCCGTCCTCAGCTGCTCCAGTGGGGCTCATGTTATATATGAATTAATTTAGTAATCTCAGCTGAGTGACATTTTTCCAAATGCAGAAGTGTCACCAAATGGAATGATTCATTGTGATTGGCACACTCCCTAGAAGAGGATATTACTAGTCAGGGCTGAGGACATGTTAGATCAGGACTGGGGTGCACTGATGAGCCTGGAGACTGAAGGAAGGGCTGCTGCAAGTCAGGATGAGTTTGCAGAACTGTGTGGGAGCTGCACTCTGCCTCTGACACAGAGCATCTTCTGAACACATCACTAAAAAGCACTGATGGCTTTTCTGACACAAACAGCACATGTATAAAACCTCCACTCTGCCAGTTTCTCTTTTGATCCAGGTGGTTAAACTGAACTTGAGGCTTTTAGTTTTATTAATTGAAACATACAATTGATACTTTGACTCACAACAGAAACTCAGAGTGGACTTCAGTAATTCACTTTATTGCTTCAGATGACCCTGAAGTCAGAGGAGCAAGAAACAGAACATCTCATCCATTTTAGAGCCCACAGAGTGGCATCTGTTCTAACTCCAGCTGTTGGTGTGTGGCTGGCACTTCTCTGGGGGCTGGCACCTCTTGCAGGTAACTGAAATAACTCCAGATACCTTTGCTAGCTTGAAATAACTCCAGCAACCTCTGGAGATGTGTCTAGCCAAGGAAGCTGATCCTCTATGCACATCCCTCCTTGGCCATAGCAGAGGAGAGAAGGTTCAAGAAAAGAAAATCATAATAAAATCCAGCTAACTTCAAACAAAAGAGATCTGGTGGAACATCCTTCCAGCACATGGGTGTTTCCTGTGGCATGGTGCCCAGTGCTGTGCTAGCGATCCTAAGCATGACAGATGAAGTTTGATACACACAGTGACTGAGAAAAATTGCTGGTTGTCAGAACATCAGCAGCCAAAACAACAGCTATGTTTATTGACTTCCTAATTGCAGTATAATCTTAGATATTGGTAAACACATTGTTGTCCAACCTGATGCTCTCAGTGGAAGCACTGCTCATGGCCTTACAGAAAAGGTGGCAGCTCAGCTTCATCCTGACCATGCATATTAAACTGTCACCATAACACATTGATGTATTGCTGTACTGGGTTTTTTAAGAGCTGATGTTCTTCCTCTCCATCTTTAAATTGCTCAGGTTTGAGGTCTTACAGCCAAAAGCAATCAACAGATAAAATCCACACATGTGCATATTAGAAAATACAAATATAATAGGAGAGTACAAGGAGAGTAAGAAATTATTCACACTAATGGAAATAACAGAATTACCCAGGGGAATATCAGCTTTAGGATTCTGAGGATCAGCAGCAAGGCTCATCTTATGTAAACTTGCCTTGCTCTTGCATCTCTCCAGACTTTTTAATATAGATAATTATTCTACTTACCTTAATTGAAGTTAGCCTTCCCTTCAGCAAGATGTTGGTCTAGATGACCTCCACAGGTGCCTTCCAACCTTGGTGGCTCTTTCTCCCCACTATTACTCCATTTTACAAGCAGAATGACTGATACAGAGGCTGGATGTATTAATGACATAGTGACAGGAAACACAGGCCAGAATTCAGAAGGTCGGGTGGTGACCCTGTCCCTTTGCATGACAGGGCTGTAGCCAGGAGTGGCAGCCCAGGGGTCTGTGTCACACCCACCCAAACTAGGGAGCAAGAAGTGGGTGGAGATGGTTGTGGCCACTGGGATAACATGAGCTTCATTATGGCTGTGGGGCAGCATCCAGACCAGGCACTAAGTGCCACCAGGGTCACCCACAGATACAGAGACTACACACACAGTGCTCCAGATCCCTCCTTACTCCTTCACCATTCTCCAATATTTTTTTCAGCTTATTCCTGGAAGCACTTTTGACCCTGTCTGGAGTGAACAGAAATGACGTAGAAGTTCCGGGATGATATTCCCTGGAAATGTAACCTAAGAAAGCACATTGCAACTTAGAACCAGTGCACACTGGAACAGGCAGACACAGCTCATGGGCAACTGCCTTTGGAAAGATTCCCACTGGAAGAAGGTAGGAGTTCTGTGATTCTATGATTCTGTGAGCTGGCTGTCCACAGGAACAGAAGGAAAAACATCCAGTTTGCCTTCCCCTGAAGTTTGCCATTGTCCCTGTACATAAAACCACCAAAGATTCCACCAGATGATGTTATATTTTGAATGTATAAGCACCAAGTCATCTTGCTGTCACTTGCTGTCACTCGGTGACTTTAAGCACTCCACGCACCACTGGTGACAAATCCCCTGCAGTTTTTCATCTCTGTTCCCTAGGGTGCTTTCCCTGACAATGGGATGACTCAACTCAGTGATGTTGACTAGATGAGCACATGATTTCACAATAAAATAATCAGTCACTTTTGTAAAAAGAGCAAATTTGTGCAGCCATTTGGAAGCAAAAAGCAAAGTGCAGCCTAAAATTCCTTTTATTTACAGTGGGAAATGAAGCAGGACTAAGATGATTAGAACTGTAATTAAACAAGAGAGTCAAATCCACAGATATGCACAACATACAGAAAAGGGTTGTCAGAGAGACAGCACAGAAGAATCCTGAAGTATTTTTTCCACTGCAAGCCCCAGGGACATCACTCCTTAATTTGATCTGTAGCAAGAAGCTATCTCCAAAAGCCCCTCTATTTACCTTGGAATAAAAGCAGGAGAAGGTCTAGCTAATTTTCTCACTGAAAAGCTGCTGCATACAGAGTACATGCAGAGATACTGAAATTTGAGCTTCATTGCAAATGGGAAAAAACAATTTTCTAAGTATGGCAGGGGAAAACCCCAGAGGAGATTGTGTCTGCAGCCAAGTAAAGCTTGTCTTTGGCTCCAGTCCTGAATTATATCCCTTTCTGTCATTTGCCAAACACCAGCTCAGTTCTCTAGATGCTGCTAACATCCTAATATCTTACTGCATTTAAGTACCATCCCTGCTCTCCTTCCCTGTTTTATACAGCTCTTGGCATGTTTTCAATATCTTTCCTAAACCGCATCCGAATTCACTCCCATTAGTTTCAACAGCTCGTTGAGAGGCAGATAATCCACCCTTTGTCACTATGGATTGAGTCCTGTCTCAAAAAAGGAACAACTCCATTTAATCAAAGAAAAATAGCTATGAATAAATTTGCCACTGCTAACAAGCTTGGCTGGGTCAGAGCTTTGTGTGCTGGAACAAAGACTTAAGACCCTGAAAGACGTTGGTATTGCAGTGGCTGTCCCAGTCAGTCTCTCTGCCATTCATATCTCAATGCACTAGATCACTTGTATTTTGTTAGATGGTGTCTTACATTGCAGGAAGAGCACCTGTCAGCTCCTTACTAAGTAAGTACCTGCCATGCTTTGGGTCTAATTCAATGTGACCTCTTTATCTCTATTGTATAGGAGGTCTCTCCTTCTGCCCTACCTGTTTCCAGACATGCAAGACAGAGCCAAACTCAGCCCTCAGCTAAGCCAGAGCAGTGCCCAGGGGAAGGCAGCATTCCCAGCTCTCAGTCATGGATTCATTCATGCAGGGCTGGGAACCCAGTGGGCAATGGAAACTGTTAAAAAAAAAATCACAGGAAACAACTTTCCCACTTGACAGCAGGGTTGGGGAGAATTGTTCTGTGTCCTGAGGGAAGCCCAGGATCTGGGATGTTTGAAGGCTGAGGGGCTTTATTCTTCACAGAAGCAGATAGATACTGCAGAACCTTATCTACAGAGATTTGTTTGAAGCTGGAAACACATCTGCTTTGGCCTTACTCAGAGTCCCATTCCATGAATGTTCATGCAAGTGAGTTCTCTGCAAAAGTCAGATTTGTATCTGTTTTCAGTTCAAGCAGCAAGTAAATTTTATGTGAGCCTGCTTTGTGATGTACAGGGAGACTGTTTCTATTCCAAGGGTAGAAACAGTGCCCCTTAATGATAAGACCATTAAAAACCAAGAAGTGCAGCTCAAATTGCAGAGCAATAATAAGCAAGAAGAATCTTGTAGCATAGTTTTGAAAAAAAACAACAACCCAGTGCACCTGAGAAACACCACAACCTGCTCCTAGCTGTTCACTAGAAAAGAAAAGAACCTTCACTGGATGAACTGTTGGTTATGAAAGTGTTCAGCTCATTTCCAAGAGCAACAAACCAGATGAAGCCATGTGTTCATCCCTTAGCTTCCTAACTGCTGGAAGTGGGCAGAAGAGTCAGGTGATTTCAGAGCTGTTGTGCTTACCTTTTGGTTTATTTCCATTAAAAACATCTAGCTACACCAACTGTAAGGAGAAAAAACAACCCCACTCTATTCAGCTTTTCCTTACCTCCCATCTCCTTACTGATTCTCTATGTCTGCAAGTGACACTTTAACTAAAAACCTTCTGACTCTAAGCAGGTTGGCGATGCTGTTCCACAGCCCCAGCACAGCACAGTGAGCAGATTATTAATCTAAAGCAAAGCAGCACAACCAGGGAGTCTAAAACCACAAGGGACACCTGAGTTGCTCCATTTGTACAGCATTCAGCAGAGGAGAGGAATGGGCCCTGCGTGCAGATTGTTTGGTGCCTGTTTGCAGTCACAGCCTCTTCTGTGGTGTAAAGGGTCAAGTCTACAGAAGCCCATACCCAGTAATGCTGTTGTGCTTCTCAGCAGCCTCATATTTCCTGAATTAAGCTGCTTTAAAATTTTTCTGCTCTGAGAAGCTACTTCAGAATCTATTTGTGACAGTCAA